CCAACTGGAGATGTTCCTCAGTCACTACTCACCAACCCTCCCAAAGGCCAGAGTCTGGGCACCCTCTCCTCCTTTCCTGAATGCTTTGGAAAATGCAAAGAAAAAGGCACAGCACGATCCCTGTACCCAAGGGACTGGTACCTTCAGTTCCCTTCATCCCAAGCGTGGCAAACGCGGGCCCTCCCTGTGTTTTGGACCTCAACTCCCCCCTCATGCGACCCACCTCGTCCTTGCTGGTGTACTCCACGATCTCGGTGCAGAGGTTGCTGCACTTGATGGTCCCCAGGTTCTGCTGGTTGCTCTTCCTGTTGCAGGAGTCCTTGTAGAGCATGTACGGAGTGCCGGTCTCCGTCTGGGACTCGATGATGGCGTACCAGAGCTGCTGGGCCTTCACCACGCGGCGCACGCGGCCTTGCTTCTCGTAGCTGAAACGACACACAAGAGGACGAGGGCGCCCCTTCACAATCCATTCAAGACTCCCAAATGGGGCAAGAGAACGCAGGATGTAAATAAACATAATAATGGTAACAACAACAACAACAATACCTCTCATAGAGTTTTTCGAACTCCTCTCCCCAGACTTCATCCAGGCCGGGGCATTCGTTGGGACACATCAGGGACCAGTCCTGCAAAAGGAGGGTCAAAGGTGACCAAGGGGGACCCCAGCGGTTGACCCAAAAGGCACTTCTTCACACAGAAGGCCTTCCTGTCCTTCTCAAGATGGAAAACACAAATCCCCTAGGCCCTGTCTGCTTTGGAACCACAATTGATTTCACTGGATGCAGCCAGCATGGTTCAAGTGCAGTCCTTACTCTGTAACTCTGCTCTATGAAGGGAATCCCAAATATTGTTGACAAGTTAAAACAGAACACACTCTTATGGACTTGAGAAAAAAGGCAAGGAAAGGTCTCTCACAATTTTCCTTCCTGGGTTTATGAATGCCATTTCCCAATTGGTTCTATCATAAAAACAAGGGAAAAGTTTATTGAACTGCAAAAACTTTGTCTTTATTATTTATTTATTATTTTACTCTATTTATTATTTATTATACATCCTGCTAGAGCACATTTTGCTCTGGGCTTTCAATGACTATCTCAGAGTCTCAGCCCATTCAACCTTGTTTGTGGCAGCCACAAAAACAACATTTCTGGAGTAGAACAACTACTTTCAAAGTAAGGGCTGCACAATTAAACAGGAAATAAATTTTGTTACAGAGTTTAGGTTTCCATATAGACTCAAGTATAAGCCGACTGTTTCAGCTCCTTTTTTAGGATGAAAAAGCCCCCTCGGCTTATATTCGAGTCAAGGTTATTATTTTACTCTGTTATCATTAATCATAGAATCAAAGAGTTGGAAGAGACCTCCTGGGCCATCCAGTCCAACCCCCTGCCAAGAAGCAGGAATATTGCATTCAAATCACCCCTGACAGATGGCCATCCAGCCTCTGTTTAAAAGCTTCCAAAGAAGGAGCCTCCACCTCACTCCAGGGCAGAGAGTTCCACTGCTGAACGGCTCTCACAGTCAGGAAGTTCTTCCTCATGTTCAGATGGAATCTCCTCTCTTGTAGTTTGAAGCCATTGTTCCACATCCTAGTCTCCAGGGAAGCAGAAAACAAGCTTGCTCTCTCCTCCCTGTGGCTTCCTCTCACATATTTTTACATGGCTATCATGTGCCCTCCCAGCCTTCTCTTCTTCAGGCTAAACATGCCCAGCTCTTTAAGTCACTCCTCATAGGGCTTGTTCTCCAGACCCTTGATCATTTTAGTCGCCCTCCTCTGGACACATTCCAGCTTGTCAATATCTCTCTTGAATTGTGGTGCCCAGAATTGGACACAATATTCCAGGTGTGGTCTAACCAAAGCGGAATAGAGCATGGGGAGCATGACTTCCCTAGATCTAGACACTGCTCCTCTTGATGCAGGCCAAAATCCCATTGGCTTTTTTTGCCGCCACATCACATTCCTGGCTCATGTTTAACTTCTTGTCCATGAGGACTCCAAGATCTTTTTCATTATGATTTTTATTACATTTACATTGTTTTCCTCTATTATTATAATTTTATTACATTTATTATTTTCCTCTATTATTATATTACATCATTTATTATTTTCCTCTATTATTATTGTTATTACATTTATTTTATTCTATTTATTATTGCTATTATTACATTTATTATTTACCTCTATTATAATTACATCGTTTATTATTTTATTCTATTTATTATTATTAGATTTATTAGATTTCTCTATTTATTATTGTTATTATTACATTTATTGTTTTACTCTATTATTTTTATTACATTTATTATTTTACTATTTTATTACATTTATTATAATTACATCATCTATATATATATAAAAAGAGAAAGGGCGTCCAATGGGACAGCAAAACTCAAAACCCCCCCGACGAAAATTTACCAAATTTACCATGCACATACCTCAACCCACAAGGTATGCACAAATCGATTCAAAATTCTAAACAACATTAAAACACACTCACAATTAGACAAAACAACTGAGCATGCGCAATGGCGCCCCGCCGCAAGTCCCCGGCGCGCGCACATGGCCGCCAGCCACGCCCCCATCCTCCGTCGCTCCGCCCCTACCCTCCCATACGCCCTCTTTCCAACGCACCCTCCGTTCACGCCACGCCCCCCACATTCACGGCACGCCCCTCCCCCGCCCCGCCTCCCCCTCCTTCTTCCCCCGCCCACACCCCCTCCAAGAAGCCACGCCCCCTCCAAACCCCACCCCGCCCCTTCCCGCCCTGTCCAAATCCATCCCTCCTCCCCCTCCTTCTTCTTCCCCCGGCCACGCCCCCCACGGAAGGAAGGAGAGAAGGAGGGAGAGAAGAAGGGAAAGAAGGAGGGAAGGAGAGAAAGAAGGATAGAAGAAAGTAAAGAAAGGAAGGAAAGGAGAGAAGGAAGGAAAGTGGTGGAGAAGGGGAAAGAGGGAAGGAGAGAAAAGAAGGAAAAAAGAAGGGTAAAGAAGGAAGGAGAGAAGGAAAAGAAGGAGGGAAGGAGAGAAGGAAAAGGTAGAGAAGGAAGGAAGAAGGAAGGAAAGAAGGAGGGAAAGGGAGAAAAAAGAAGGAAAAGAAGAAGAAGAAAGAAGGAAGAAGAGAAGGAAGAGGGAGGGAGAGAGGGAGAAAAGGGAAGAGAGAGAGGAGAGGAGAAAGAGGAAGGAGAAAAAGGAGAGAGGGAAGGGGAAGGAGAAGGGGAAGGAGGAGAAGAGAGAAAGGAAAGAGGGAGAGGAGAGGAGAAGGGAGGAGGGGAGAGGGGAGGAGGAAAAGGAGGGGAGGGGAAGATGGGAAGGAGGGGGGGGGGAGGAAGGGGGGGGGTCTGGCGTGGGCTGGTCCATGAGGTCACGAAGAGTCGGAGACGACTGAACGAATGAACAACAACACAGTTCCCAGCATTTCTCACTGTTTACTAAGATAGTTACGACTGTTGGGTATCATAGTCTGGCAACATGTTCTTGCTTTTGAGTCATTTCTGACTTATGCTGACCCTAAGGCCACAGGATTCTCTTCATAAGATTTGTTCAAAGGAGGGCTGACCTTGACTACTGCTGAGATTGAGAGAGTATGACTTTCCCAAGGTCACCCAGTGGGTTTCCATGCCTGAGCAGGGTTTCAAACCATGTTGTTTAATGTCTTCAAGGCTCCCCAGCAACATGTGCAAGAATAAAAATAGCACTGTAATGAAAGGGTCTCTGCTATATAACAACAAAAAAGCCCACTATATGGTTCAGATATGTGGATGACACTTTCACCATTTGGAGCCATGGAGAAGAAGAACTAAAGAGGTTCCTGGATCATCTTAACAGCATCCACCCAAACATCCAATTCACCATGGAAAAAGAAAATGAAGGAAGACTGCCTTTTCTAGATGTCCTAGTCATCAGTAAACCAGATCAACAATTGGGTCACACCATTTACAGAAAGCTCCCACACACAGACAAATATCTACATAAAAACTCCAACCATCACCCAAGTAAAAAAAAGAAGCACCATTAAAGCCTTGGCAGACCGTGCAAAAAGAATCTGCAAACCCCACCTCCTTCAAGATAAACTGAACCACTTAAACTGTGCTCTACAGGGCAATGGATACTCCACCTCAGACATCAGAAGAGCTGCAAGACCGAGAACAAGCCACAAGAGTCAAGACAAAGATCCACCCAGAGGAAAAGTGTTCTTGCCATACATCAAGGGAACCACTGACCACATAGGGAAGCTGATGAGGAAACACAACATACAAACTATCTATAGACCCACCAAGAAAATCCAACAAATGCTACATTCAGCAAAGGACAAGAGGGATCCTCTCACCTCTGCAGGAGTCTACCGTGTACCATGCAGCTGTGGACAAGTCTACATAGGGACCACCAAACGCAGCACCCAAACACGAATCAAGGAACATGAGAAGCACTGCAGACTACTTCAACCAGAGAAGTCAGCCATGAACCAACCTGGACACAGCATTTTATTTGAGAACACAGAAATGCTAGACCATTCTCACAACCACCATGTCAGACTACAAAGAGAAGCCATTGAAATCCATAAGTATGTGGACAATTTCAACAGAAAGGAGGAAACCATGAAAATGAACAAAATCTAGCTATCAGTAATAAAAAACTCTAAAATTACAACAGCTAAACAACAGAGAGGAAACAATCTGGGATATCTAATCACCTCTCAACAAAAGATTGCCCCAGGCACTGCCAGGCCATCAAATGCTAATCAAGGTGGTCAGCTGAAACATTCACACCTAGCTCCAGCAGACAAGAGTCCTTTGTTCCACCCTTGTCATTCCACAGATATATAAACCCTTTTTTCCTAGTTCCAACAGATCTCACTACCTCTGAGGATGCTTGCCATAGATGCAGGCGAAACGTCAGGAGAGAATGCCTCTAGAACATGGCCATATAGCCCGAAAAAACCCACAAGAACTGAGTATTTCTTTCCTTTTTAAAAATCTGCAGCCCTACAAATTTTAGCCATTCACTTGTTGGTATAGGTTCTGTTTACTGCTCAAACCATGCATGCTAGCTTTGAATCTGCCCAGTCAGTTGCAAGGAGAGCAGAGGACTGTGTTTTAAGTATATTACAAGAACAGTGCCTTCAGTTGTGGAACCCAGTTAAGGAAAAATATTATTTCTGGAGGATATGCAAGAGTTGACGCTTTCTAGCTGTTTTGAGTGGCAGCTCCAATCCTAGGCAGTCTTTCTTAGAAATGAACACTAACACATTATATGTCCTTATTGCCCCAGCTTTCTATTTTTTCTTTGACTGCAGCCTGTATCAACTGAGTCTGTATTATTAAGAGTGTTTTCAAGGAAACACATTTGCATCACTATCAGAACAAAATACCTGGTAAAAAATTATCTGCCTGCTTCTAAATAATATCTGTGGACTTTCAGATAAATTGGTATCTTTTTCAGAGATCAATAACATTGAGAGTGCTAGATTTTACCAGACTTAGTACATTAACATTTCAATGTGTAGTTATTATTTTTAGTTCTATGGTTATGGAACTTTTTTCTTTGGCAGTTTACAAAAAAAAACAAACCCTAATGTGAGCCTATTGCAGAAGTAATGTAGAAATCAGAGACATTTCTTGCCTTGGATTGTGCAAATTAGAATGGTGGAGAGTTTAGGGGATTTGGGAGATATATTCTAGATTGCTTTTAATAGTTCTATGAAAAAAAAATCCCATTTCTAGCCTGCAGTTTAAATTACTGCTTAATTGGTGTTTCTTCCAGATGTTAATGTAAATCTGAAAGTGTATTAATTAAAGGGAATCAAATAAAACTAAATTGTTTAACGAAAGTAAATCAGATTATACATATAATTTAAAAAAGCAGAGTATACTATAGTCTGTAGTATGTATGCTTTTAGTACATATCTGAGAACAGCTTCTGTAATCATACGTCTGTTCAGATGGTGTTTTCTCATTTAAGAAGCTTCTAGATATCATGACATTCTAGCAACTGAGTAAGACTGTAACATAAATATCACACAAACATAGGGAGTCATACTCAGTCATATTTTACAAGTCTCCTTCAGAGCCACAATCGTTTTATAAAGGCTGGTGAGTATATTTGTTCCAATAGTTTATCAAGGCCTAATTGACATCATGTTGATCATAAATACAATTGCCATCTGAGTTCTGGGGGGGGGGGGATTAACAAATACAATCCTTTGTACTACTCTGAGGAAGGGAAGGACTATTGCTTTTCTAGCTAGAAAGGGGAAATATAAACAATTATCAGATTAGGCTGTTACAGGCTGCCTTTGAAGACTACCTTGATTGACTTAGAATCCAATAGCTGGTAGTGGTCACCTGAAGTATGTACACTCTCTTGCCTGGCCGTCAGATTGCTTGTGCGGAGACAGCTTTATTGGCTTTCTTTATGTTTTCAAGCAACGTTCAAAATGCTGACCATTGGACTGTAGTTTCTGAAGAACCTTCCCAAAAGTGGAGATCATCATAAAAGACAATTCTCTGTATGTTCTCACACAAGAAGAAAGTGATGGTACCTCATTTATGATCTGTCCTTCCAGTTCCTGTTACTTACTTTGAATTACAAATACTCCTTCAATTTACCCAAGCACTTTGATTGACTACATTGTTCAATTCCCAGAAGAAATAGATGGGTGTTGTAGTTGATTACACTGTTCTACAAATTTTCAGTTTTTCTCAGTTGCGGAAACGAAATGTGCCATTTCTTAATAAATTTAACATGCTGAATTCAAATATAATAATTAAATGTGTTAATTGGCTCTGGTTTTTATGCAACAGCTATTTCAATTTTCTCCACAATAGGTAATTCATTAATATTATGATAATGCGCCTAACCTTACTGCATGTATATAAACTGTGAATATTTGCTAAATTTTAGTCAAATTATATTGCCAATAGTTTATACATGAGAAATATTTATTTAATTAGTCTATTGTTTATGTTTGTGCAGCAAGAAACTATATTAGTAGGCCTAATGCAGTTGAAAAGTCTGAAAGTTTAAATGTCGCTTTAATCGTGACTTGAGTTTATATCCTGTTTGACTTTTTTTTTGTATTCAAGGAAAGGATTGTCTCTTACAATGCTCCAGCAGTAGTCTGACAGCACTGACGGAGTCCATCTACCTTGATATCTTTTTTCCATAGTTCTTTATTTACACATGTGCGAGGCATAACTACAGTAAAAAGAACAATGTAAAACGATGTTTAACAATACTGTCTCAGTCTTCAGCTGACTGACCCTCACCGTTCAAAAGTCTGGCCTTATATAGGGCTTTCTGACTTTTGCACATGCCACTAATACTGTGTCATCAAACTTTCTAGAGTATTCTAGAACCTTCCATAGTGTAAGTCGCAACATGCATTTTTTCAACCATACGTGATCACGTGATTGCTTATATCATAAAAACTAGAGCCAATATACATTTTTAAATGCCATTTTCGTTTTCAGCACCCCAAAATGATAAAAGAACAACTATTTTCAGGCCCGCAACTTTTTCTCCGTTGTACAGTGTATTGATCAGTGTGTATTTTTGCTGTACTGTTTTACAATATTTTAACTTTTTTATTCAGCGGTCAATTTGATTCATAGAATCATAGAATCATAGAATCAAAGAGTTGGAAGAGACCTCATGGGCCATCAGTCCAACCCCCTGCCAAGAAGCAGGAATATTGCATTCAAATCACCCCTGACAGATGGCCATCCAGCCTCTGTTTAAAAGCTTCCAAAGAAGGAGCCTCCACCACACTCCGGGGCAGAGAGTTCCACTGCTGAACAGCTCTCACAGTCAGGAAGTTCTTCCTCATGTTCAGATGGAATCTCCTCTCTTGTAGTTTGAAGCCGTTGTTCCGCGTCCTAGTCTCCAGGGAAGCAGAAAACAAGCTTGCTCCCTCCTCCCTGTGGCTTCCTCTCACATATTTATACATGGCTATCATATCCCCTCTCAGCCTTCTCTTCTTCAGGCTAAACATGCCCAGCTCCTTAAGCCGCTCCTCATCAGGCTTGTTCTCCAGACCTTTTATCATTTTAGTCGCTCTCCAGCTTGTCAATATCTCTCTTGAATTGTGGTGCCCAGAACTGGACACAATATTCCAGATGTGGTCTAAC